CCGCGTTGATGTTGTTTGGTGAAAAGGAGAACCCGTCAATTAAGACGGATATCGTCCGGCCAGAGATAAAGTCAGCCACCCATCTTTAAAGATTTTCTGGGAGGCCATAAGATGGAAGTTTGCTTAAGAGGGCAGCGTGCCACAGCTGATCGAATGCTTTCGTGATGTCAAGAGCAACGTCATGAGCCTCATCATAAGACTGGATGAGTTTACTCCACAATTGCGTGGGGTAAGCTAGGAGGTCCCCTGTGGATATTTGGTGCCGGAAACCATACTGCCTGTCGCTAATCAAGCTGTGACGTCCGAGGTAGTCCAGAAGCTCGCGATTTATGCACCTCTCCATCACCTTACTTATAATAGAAAGCAGAGCTATAGGCCTGTAGTTGTTAGGGTCGGTCTTAGATCCTTTTTTTGGGATGTCTTGGACATGAGCAAATTTCCAGTTTTCTGGGAAGGTGCCGGATTCATAAGATATCTGGACGAGACGCGAAAGAACTGCACACCTCTTCAGTACAATGGCAGGAGTCAGGTCCGGACGAGAAGCTTTGTTGATGTCGAGCGACAAGAGCACTCGTCTTACGGTCTTATGCCTGAATGTTACCTACCGCATAGTGTACGGAACCCTTTGAATTGACGGCACTTGGGCGTTGGAAGGGACGTCCATGGTGGAGTTGGCAGCAAAGATCTTGGCAAGCACTCCCGCCTTGGCCTTTGAGTCGGATACAATCGTTCCATCCTAACTGGTAAGTGGTGGAAGGCTACTGTGTGAGAAGTTATTTTCAATCTGCTTGGCCAGCGTGCGGAAAGACCGACTCCCATTGCGCTGCGACATTACCCCGTGCCTAACTTTTATATCATGCTGGTTTTTGGCATTGCAAACCGCTTGATTATATTTGTTTCTGGAGTCGACGTCGGCTTGTCTGTTCTCTACAGTGGGATTTTGTAAGAAGGTTCTGTGCGCCTTGATCTTCTGCTGGCGAGCAGTGTCACACGATTTGTTAAACCAGCCGTTGGACCCTGGTTTAGGCACTTTCACTGTGTGAGGGATGTATTCCTCCATTCCGACGTGGATAATTTCGGATATCGAAGAACAGACAGCCGACGCATCCGCGTCAGTGAAACAAACAGGTCTCCAAGGAAAGGTAGAGAAGCAGTCTCTGAGCCCCTCCCAGTCGGCATGTCTGTAATGCCAAGTTTTCCTGCCTGTGCGAGTTTGTGCAGCCACAGCGGGTTCTGACCGAGTTGAAGTAGGGCTCGTCACCAGCAGCTGGGTCAGCCCTTGAGTAAGAGCGAACGCTTCGACTGCACGACCTGCTGCATCGCTTTTGTTTGAGCCCAACCAAAGCTCATTATGGGCATTAAAATCACCGAGAAGAACTACCTCTGAAGCGGGGTGATTGATGTCCAGGACGTCGATCTTTTGGCGAGGTATTCAAGTAGGTCATCCCAGTTATGGTCCGATGGAGAGCGATAAAGGCAGCAATTAAATTTGGGTGATGTTATGGAGTTGAGGTGAAGCCACAGAATGTCCGTGCGGTCTGATTCCAAAGAAAATATCTCCGGAGCAGGAAAGACTGCTGCGGACAAAAGCCACACCTCCCCCGTTCTTTCTAAGATTGGAGTGCACCTCGTAATTTGGGAAGTTAAGATGGTTAGTCGGTACAGACTCTGAGATTTTTGTCTCCGCCAAAACAAGCATGGCGGACGATTGGATTGCAGGTAGTGATGAACAGCATCAATGTTGCTGTTAATGCCGCAGATGTTCGTAAAACAAATTTTATCTTCGATGTTGTTTCCTCGAGCCCGCCCTCCACCCGGACATTCCGAGAGAGTGAGCTTACGTCCCGTGTGATTTTACCTCCGTTAATTAAACATTCGAACATGAGATTTTTGCCATTTTCAGCGCAGGGATCAAAATTGAGCGTTTCCATGTGAATGAATCAATTTGACCTTGGATTCACTTGTAAGGTCATAGTCAAGATTAGAATGAAAGTCACCATCAGATAGGTCCTGCAATTTTCGCAATAAAAGTTTTTTCTTGACATTCTTCTTTTTCCAGCGTTCTCTTCTGCTTTACATCATTCCATGAAAGGGCAACAGATGACCTTGAAATGATCTCTAGATGTTAATTTAGCCGCTATGATGTTCATACCGTTGAAAAGGAGATTGTTTGGCTTTCTATTTCTGCAATAAAAAAAATGGGTCCTTTTTGAAAAATCAACTTGCCCTTGAAATGACATTCAAGGTGAATGTCAATGTTAAATCCACTAGATGCGCTATTTAATTTCCTAAAAATCTTGTATTTAGAATTTTTCTAACACGTTTAGTTGCTGAGATATTCGGGCGTGTTCATACTTTTGGGTATAAGAAAAAAATGCTGTTTTTAGTTTATCTATATAATTATTTTTGTTGGATGTAATTACTAAATGTAATGATATAATTAATTAGGTAATTGAATTATCAGATGTTGAATCTCAATGTTTGAATTGGGACCTCGGTTGGCCGGGTGGGTCAGAGTGTCGTGCTACTGATCAGCCGGCCGGCCGGGCCGCGAGTTAGAATCACATTCCGAAGCCAAGAATGTTGTGGCGTCAATGTGTTAGAAATATATATGTATAAGAAACCTAGTGACTGGCTGCATGGACTCCTAGTCCTAACCCCAAAAAAAAAAAAATGTTTGAATTTATGTGAATTTCAATATAAGTAAATTATATTAAAATAAAATTTTGCATTACTCCTTTTGAAGAATAAGACAAATTGGTTATAAAAATTACTAAAAATGACATAACATTGTTTTTGCAGAGAGTATTAAATCAATAAATCACAAGTTACTGCTTTTTGATTTACGACAAAACACGGAATGTTACTTCGAGAACAATTATGATCCGAAATCACTTTTAAATGACTCTCTATAAAGTCATGTAAATTTCCAATACTCATTATCTTTTGCTGTGCAGTGCCGTAATAATAGTATTTATGTACTTTGAAAAAATCAGAATTGTGAACTAAATCCTCTCACACATTTTGGTTTTTAGACCTTCTGCCTTTTACCTAAGTAGGGTGGTATACATGGTGAAACAATAACTAAATCTCTGCGTAAGCCGTTTCCTGACCTGTTTTATTTCGATTAATTGGCCACCTAGCCATGTGATTTAACACTATTGAATTCCTTTGTGTGGGCTAATCTGAAGTCAATATTTTATGCCAACAAACTCACAGAACGGCGCTTCAACGAAATTCATTAATTTTTGTGTATAATGAGGATCAAAAACTTCGAACTGAGTTTGTGCCGATTTGCCTTATGTGTTATTCCAGACATGACCTTGAGTACTTTATGATCCAATAGAAAATAATCTTCAGAAGAAGAACTGTGTTCTCTATTTAATTTAAATCTTAAATTTTGGGACAAAATAGCCACATTATCACTGAGACGTCTCGGGAATCATGTTGCTTTTGGAATTAAGTTCTTATTCTAAATACTCTATACCAGCTATAGGTTCCCTTGATCCCAAAGACGTCTCTTTAACAGTATTGTCGACTTAATACTTGGAACATACTTTAATCATTGTCAACTACAGGTAGGTGTTTGTTGTCTGAGACGTCATTCAAAATTAGACCAAAAACACCTTATCTTCGAACTTGAACACCCACGCTTTGGTGGACAGGGGGGGCAGGCAATCCTAGTTTGATGTCTTTCTATTTCAACAAACATTGATAGAAACTGCATTGTGTCCATTGTTGGGATATACGAGGGCGGTCCGATAAGTAGTTAGCCTACAAAGAAAAACGAAAATTTTGGAAAAGTGGCGATTTATTTCTCAACAATTTTTTAGCCCTATACATTTGACCTAGCGATGCTGCAAATTCTTTAACTCGTCTGAAAAGTACGTTTTCTGGAGGTCTGGAAAGTAGGTTTCCGCGGCGGCGATAACCTCCTCATTCGATTCAAATTGCTGCCCGGCGAGTGACTTTCAAGTGTGAAAACAAAAAAAAAGTCGCACGATGCCAAATATGGAGAATACGACACATGAGGCGGCAGTTCGTCGCCTAATTCGACCAATTTGTTCACGGCTCATACAGCCGGTGCGTTGTCATGGTGGAAGAGTACTTTTTTCTTCGCCAAATGGGGCCGTTTTTTATGCAGTTCAGCGTTGAATCGGCCTTATAATTCGGCATAGTAGAGCCCTGTGACCGTCTTGCCCTTCTCCAGGTATTCGATGTAGATCACACCTTGTGAATCCCAGAAAACGGTGGCCATCGCTTTCCGGTCGATAGGGAGTCTTCGTCTTCTTCGGAGCATTTTCGCTGGGTGAAGTCCACTGTTTCGACTGTTCCTTGGTCTCTGGTGTGTAGCAGTGGATCCATGTTTCGGTTTGCGCTTAAACAGCGTCAAACACTGCTCTGAAGTGGTCTCACGGTTGCGCTTGTTGTCCGGAGTGAGCAAACGCGGCACCTATCACGCAGACAGCCTTCTCATGCCCAATATTTCGTCCCCAAATAATATGACCCACGCGGTGATTTGAGATGCCTACTGTCTCAGCTATCTCCACACCTTCAATCGGCGGTCTGTCAATACGAGATCTTTGATCTTTGTCACGTAATCGGGGCACCTGAAAAACCGTTGTGCGACCATGCTCTTTAAACTTAAACTCTTTAATCCAATTTTTGACGGTCGTCATCGAAGGACCAGAGTCACCGTACAAAACCTCCAAGGACCCTTTGAGAAAACAAGAGTCGAATCACCGACCGCTATTGCTGTTTTTCAAACGCGGTCAAAACAAAACAACGAGTCCAATTCGGCTGAAATGTTGACAGTAGCCGTCTACGAGAATGTACTACACGATAATACATTTCTCTGACGATAGTGGCGCCAACGGGCGGTGATGCTAAGTACTTATCGGACCGCCCTTGTATTCATTGTTTTTGGATCTAGGCCTATCAGTAGCGCTATGTTCTCACACTTACCAATCTTACGTGTCAGTATCTTCAATCCATTTCAGATCGACAGCGAAGATGATAAGAATGGACGCAAAGACAGCATCGATCTCAGCTCGAATGTTCCCTCGGGAACCAATAAAGCTCCTCCTCTGTTGGAAGCACTTCTTCAAGACCTGCCAGACAAATGGAAGAATTGGGTGGTGCGAGGGGTTTTCAGCTTCCTAATGCTTTCCTTCTTTTTGGTGGTTATATATGGAGGGCCACTAGCATTGATGATCACCGTGAGTTGAAGTTCATAGATGTTTCAGTCTGTTTTATGATTTGATGTTTTGATTGATCGAATCAGTACACACAAGGTCAGATTTTTTCCAAACGTATCATTGATACTTTAGGTAGATTACCCTTTACGATGGATGTTTTAAGTAGCTCAATATTTTGCTGTTCAAAAAGTCAAAATAAAATATGACGCTGTCTACCTTTCATTGACAGATCCGTCAGAATTATGTGTCGTTTGCTAATATGGGGAATTTTGAAATATTACTAGATAATCAGCTATCATTCTACTGTAATAGATACTCGTGAAAAAGACTTTAAGCGAAGTTATATTTTCTTTTTGAACTCTAAGAAATATCAGGCTGATAAAACTTGAATTTTATCATATATGTTTTATCATCATTCCATTTAAAAATGCAGTTTTGATTTATGGCAAAAATAAGACAAAATGTTTACAATATTTTAAGAGTATTTCCCCTTGTACTATGTAGAAAAAAAAAGTCTTATTCGTAGCGAGGTCAGGCCAGACTATTAAAAGTAAGGTATTGGTCGTAACTCTCCAGTGCCGAGTTTCTTTCCATTATAACAAAGTGGAACGAACGTGATACAAGCGCTGGTGATTGTTTTCTTCTTTTTTTTTTTAAATACGCGCTTGGACTTTATCTCAACACTTAGGTAGTATTGATAGTATCCTGGATTAAAAAAATGCTCAAATACTGTAAAACTACTGCACTTTGAACACAGCAAAATAGAGAAACTCGTAAACTTCGCCCAGCGAGATATGCAACCCTCTGTAGCCTGGACCCTGAACTGACGCCACTTGATATAGTAAGCAATGGCGATTTAAAAAAATGTGAACCTATCATAGAAAGCCAACAGAATTCTGTACAAATTGATGAAAAACTTTTTTAGTTCGTATGGGAATTAAAAAAGTTATGAAAAGAATGAGCAACATTGGTGGTAAAATCTTCATTTGCCTCTAAAACTCCAACCACTGTACATGTTGACATGACCCTGTATATTGACGTGAAAAAAAACATTATAGAGAAAGTGTGGTTCTTGATAATGTAAAGCATTAATTTACCCTGTACAAGTCAAACCGTGGATACAGTCAACTCATATCTACACATTAATGCCTGCCGAAAAAATCAATAAAATCGAAGTAAAAACAAAAAGGTTTGGACGACCCGAACTTGACCAAAATTTTGATTGTTGCGGTTATTTTTAACATGAGTGTAGTGAAAAAGTTCATAGTGCATGATTTATATTCATCTAATTGCTATTTCTTTTTTTTAGACTCTGGTGGTACAAGTAAAATGTTTCCAAGAAATTATCAACATCGGCTACTCGGTATATCGAATCCACGGTCTCCCTTGGTTCAGGTCCCTTTCTTGGTATTTCCTAATTACCTCGAATTACTTTTTTTATGGTGAAAGTCTAGTCGAATATTTTGGTGTCCTTATCAACAGGACGGTAAGTATCACTATCATTTGTATTTTGCAACCTTACCACGAGTGCATAAGCACTCAAGGTGATATGCAATCGCCAATGTGTTTTAGGTGATTAGGTTCCGAATACCTTTAAATACAGAGAGTTGTTTAGTAAGATGCTAATATTCCAGGATAATAATAATAATAATTTATTGTACATCAATTATAAATTGTGAATAAATTGATTCTAACACATAACATGCCCATACAACATAGTAGCTACAAAAAATTGATTGGACTAAAAAAAATCTACATAATATAAATGTAGTACATTAATTTTGTGTCGTCGTAGATTAGCAATGAAGAAAATATATTTATATGTTAGTTTTTTATAAATTACATCATGTTTATATCAGTATTCAATAGCCACTCGTATAACTCTATTTTTAATAATGGTATTCGGTTTTCTCTAATATATTTTGATGATATAATTTTGAACCTAAGTTTATAAAAGATTTTAACATTATTTCCTTTTTTGATGTTGCAATAATTATTTCTTTATTTTTATTTCATATTAATAGTTTTTATAAATGGTCGAATGTTTGTTTTTATGGAATTCTTCTGATACCAAAATAATGTTATTTATATCCAAAAGTTTTGATTCTATAAACAGCGATTTGGAGGATATAATAAAGATTTGTTATGCATTGTATTTATGAATAGTTTTTGTACTATTTCTAAAGAATTTAGATGGTTATTATTCGTGGATCTCCAGATAATAATTCCATAGGTTCTGTGGCATTCAACTAATGTTTGATATACTACAAATTTTAATTGAGTTTCATTGAAAATTTATCTGTAATGTCTGAATTTATATAACAGAAATCTAAGTTTCTTTCTAATGTATTGGATATGTTCATCCCATTCCTTAAATAATTTTCTGAAGAAAAGTTTATTCGAAGTGGCTTGTATTTTTAGTTTTATTTTATATCTTCAAAAATTGTTTAGATATTATTATTAACTGTGACCTATTATACGAGGAATTAAAAATTATATACTTGAGTATAAAAAGTTATTGCATTGCGCCACGAGTGGTGTCTCTGAAAACATGTCTTGTGAAGTTTTTTTTACAAAAAATGGTACGTCACTGATATTTTTCAATGTGAATACTTTCTCTGGCTACCTCGATAAATTCTTCACTAAACCTCTATCCTGCTTTTCTTCGTCAGATACAGCATTTTTGACTAAAATGTCAAAATGGTAATTGATGAATACTGATTTCTAAAAACAAGCCAGTTTTGATACTTGCCTGTTGGTGAAAATACGTTGGGCTTAGTGAAGTTTTATCCACTTCACCTTAGCATGATTAAAACAATATTCATATTTTGTTCTTATTCAATCTCATAATAATAGTCGTCTTTATTTAGAAACAAACTAATTGATTCGCTACTCTTACACTTAACCAATCAGTTAGCGATTGGTAACACAATACAGAAATCCATGTCTGATCTTAAAAAAAAAACAGACAAGAACAAGATCAGAAAATATGTGAATCAAGAATTATAATTCATCACAAATATATAGAAATGGTATAATTAAGTGGATAGTGAATATATAAACAGTTTAATTTTCTTGCGGAATGTTGACAAATAATATTTCTTATACACTTCAGGTATTGAATTATACCTGGTAGCTAAGTTGTACGAGAAACTACGTTTAAACAATGTTGTGTTGTGCGGTGGAACTCATAATTTTGTGTCTTAAAGGTCTAGTTTGCACATCCTTACTAATTTCTTCTCTGAACCTCATTTTGGTGGCAAAAACTACTCATAGTATTTTTGTAGATTCAGCAAACTATAAAACTTGATTATTTGTAGAAATCTTTAAGTGAGATGAAGTAGAAATTTAATTTTTTTCGTTACAAAACAATATCTTCGTTTTTTTTTTATTTATTTTCAGATTGTGATTAGAATAATATTATACCAAGTTATCAACATCGCTTTATATAATTTTTGTTGTACTTGCTGCCTCATTTGGATTGAAACTTAGTATCATCTGCGAATCACTGAATAAGGGAGTTATTAAAAGTTTCGTTTGAATCAAAGGTATAAATTAAAAAAAAGTATAGGTCCTTATATAGAACCTTGAAGTACACCAGAAGGTATCAACGATTTTGAGGACAATCTTTGGTTTAATAAAACATACTGAGTTCTGCCGTGAATATAGCTTTAATTTATCAAGGCCAATATAAATAAGTTTCATAAGCAAAAGCTCATGGTTGATACTATCAAAAGCCTTAGAGTAGTCAATAGAGTCAGATTTTTGCATCTAAGGCCCGTAAAATACTATCCTGGAGAGTGAGAATAGCAGAGGTTGTTGTATCATTCTTTCTAAAGTCAGATTGGGTGACGGGTATTATATTGTATTTTTCAAGTTATATGTGGAAATTTGTAAATAAACTATTATCTGCTATAGAAATATCATCATTGTTTTTTGAATGACCCAGTATTATGTCTTTTTTACAGGACTTCCTACGTGTTCTAGTCACCTACCACAGGTTCATCTCGTTCTCCCTATACTGCTGCGGCTTCGTCCTTTTTGTTCTCAGCTTGGTGAAGAAATACTACATGAAACAGTTCTCACTTTTCGCATGGACGCACGTGGCACTACTCATCGTCGTTACCCAATCATATCTGATTATCAAAAACATCTTCGAGGGCTTGATATGGTTCATAGTGCCGGTGTCGATGATCATATGCAACGACATAATGGCCTATGTATTTGGATTTTTCTTCGGAAAGACGCCCCTGATCAAACTGTCGCCGAAGAAAACCTGGGAGGGATTCATCGGAGGTGGGATCTCGACTGTTATCTTCGGGTTTATGGTAAGTCTAATTAGCATAATTTTTAAGCGCCTTCCTTAAAATATCCTAAACTAGAGTACATGCGCCACCGCAGAAGTGAAGACGCAAGGCTAGCAGTCAAAAAATGAATAAAATTAGAACCATACAACCATATAACAAGTGATCACAAAACCAGCAGAACTTGAACAAAAAGTTACCTTGCCAGATTGTATATATAATAAAAAGTCATATTTTTATTATATTTGAATCTGTTTTTATAACTTGAAATTATTTTAATTGAGGTTTCTCAGCTTTACGAGTTCCGGCAACAGCGCTCAATAAGGAAAAAATAACCTTACGAAGAAGCTCTCCTTTATTCTCCGTAACTTGTAACGTGCCAAAATCACATAACCTTTTTTTTCTACTATTTGATCACTCACCAGTAATTTGAATGTATCTTTATTGGTGATATAGCACCAATTCCTAAGTCAAATCCTTCTCAATTATTTTTTTTTCGCAAATTTCATAATTTATTGATCTATTGAGCTCGAAACTATCTAATCCTGAAAGTATAATTTTACACATATTATATATCTCTTTCTTAAAGACGCAGTATTGTGTTGAGATCTTTTGGACACTAATGCTATAATATTTTATTACTCACTTACTCGTTTTATCAGAAATTTCCTCTTAAAACATCGTTGGCCTTTCGTAAAGTTGGTTTTCTAGGGCCTACCCATAGGCAACCAGCCATATTGCATGTAGGTAGGTTCGGTTGTAGTATTTTCAATCGTTATTATTATTTTTAGCACACCTTTTTTTCGCTATAGTTTTGATATCAATCTTGTGGAGTGTCGAATTTTTGGACGCCCTCCTACTTTTGACATTGACAGTCAACTAACTGACTGACGGAAGACCTGTCGGCCATTTCCTGCTGAAGCCTTGGTTGAGAAGGTGTATCGGCCCTTCATTTGGTTTAAAAATTTTGAGATATTGGGCCCCAATGATCAGTTTACGGAGTAAAAGGTTTTTCTTGCCTACCTGACTTTTGTTTGTTATGTTTGTTGTTTGGTGCGACTGAGCTATACTTTATACTTATTTTATTTCAGATAAATATTATATAATACACCTTGATTTGGTTTGTCAAATTCTTACTTATACTACCGCAAAAATGTGCAATCGGCACAGGATTGCCAAGAAAGTGCGATTTGGAGGTGTGGCCAGCAGGTTTTACTGTACTAAATCTACCTCGTGTCCTACTATAGCGTAAGCTAAATACATTTTTTTAAAGAATGTCGTATGACTTTCACAAAAATACTTCGGTTATTGTTTTTCCTATATTATAGTTATAATCTATTTACTTTTTCTATCTATCTACTTGAAGAATTATTTAAAGTGATGTCAAAAAATATACCTAATTAAATGTGATAATTATATATATACTAAGTGACATATAAATCCGAACACCCAGTTTAAATGGTTTTATTTTAATAAAATTTTGTATAAGTACTTAATGAAGCATAATAAGTAAATGATAAAAATTTCAAAATGATTGCACTGCTTTAAAGCCCTTTGACCTTTAATAATGTGTGGATGCACCCTGATGTGCTACGCATTCTCCAGCGCGCCTAGGCATGCTTCTGATCAGGTGGTCAATGTCCTCCTGTGGTATCTCATTCCAGGCAACCACCAACTCCTCTCGAAGTGCTTCTAGAGTCTGAGGAGGACGTTGCAAATTGAGCAATCTCCTAGACACCATATCCCACACGTGCTCAATTGGGGATAAGTTGGGAGATCTTGGTGGCCATGGTAACAATGTGACATCATTATGTTGAAAGAAGTCTATTGTGACTCTTGCAACATGTGGTCGGGCATTATCTTGTTGGAAAGTTGGATCTGCCAGGGTGTCAAGATAGGGTAAAAGATGGGGTTCTAGAACTTCGTGGATATAACGCTGCGCGTTCATGTTACCCCTGATGAAGACTAAAGGTGACCTGGAACCATAAGCTATAGCACCCCAAACCATAACTCCAACAGTGTGATGAACATGTCTTTCAACAAAAAACTGTGGATTCCTCCTTTCACCACGTCGCCTTCTAACCCTGGCACGACCATCGTGCATGCCCAAACAAAATCGAGACTCGTCAGTAAAGACAATGCTGTTCCATTCCTGATCCCAGAGTGACCGTTGTCTGCACCACTCAAGGCGATTACGTATGTGTTCTCGAGTTAAAGGGAGGACCCAGTGTGGCCGGTATGAAAACAAGCCAAAACTTCTCATTCGTCGGCAAACACTTCGCATGCCAATAGGTCTTCCGTGTTCTGCAAACCATTCATTTCAAATGGACCTGGTAGTGGAGAAACGGTCCCTTAAGGCCAATAATCTTAGGCGGCGATCTTCACGGTCTGTTGTTCTACGGCGGCGTCCAGTGCCCCTTGCTCTTTGCGTACGGCCTTCTCGAAGCCATGCCTGACAACACCTAACCACAGTGTCTACACTTCTTTGCACTCTAACTGCAATTGCCCGAAAAGAAAGTCCAGCTTCCCGAAGTCCCACTATATGGCCCCTATCAAACTCACTAAGTTGACGAAATCGTACAGGTCTCCGTACTCTAGGCATCGTAACCGATCGTAAAGGATGTCAAGAACCAAAAGCCGCCAACGTTGATTCTTTACTGTGGCTGAAATATTCATTTTTAGAGCGTTAGTGACTTAAAAAAAAGCAGTATAAAAACCGGAATGTCCAACTGATAAGGCTGAAAATTTTTTCACTTGTTATTTACAGTAAGATAAATACATTCACCAACTTTTATTAAAATAAAACCATTTAAACTGGGTTTTCGGATTTATATGTCACTTAGTATATATATATATATATATACGTAGTCGTGCCATAAGTTCTGTCCCATGATAATCTCATGATAAAAATGAAACAAGATAAGATATATTTATATGAAAGATATTATTTATTCGACAACATTTTTAGAATTCATAATCAAACAGTTTTATTCAAAATGTCCCCCCTTGGCCTTCACACACTGCTTCAATCTCGCGGGCCACTCATCTATCACTGCACGCACAGCTTCCAAAGGAATAGCTGCCGCTGATCGGATCAAATCCGCTTTCAGGGACTCGATATTACGGTGGGCTTTGGAGCAGGCCAACTGCTCTAGCAGGTCCCACAACTTGTAGTCTAAAGGATTGAGGTCCGGACTCCCTGAGGGCCAATCTTCCGCAGCAATGAACTCTGGCACATTGCTTTCCAGCCAGCGCTGCGTACTCTTAGCCTTGTGAGCGGGGGCGGAATCCTGCTGGTAGACCCAGTGTTGGTTGGCAAACAATGTACCACTTAAAGGCTTGACGATAGGATCCAGTATGTCGCTCTGATAGTTTGCCGCTTTTGTTTTCACGCCCTGTTTACAGAAATGGAGCTGAGTGACCCCTTCGTAGGACACCCCCCACCAAACCATGACTGACGCAGGGTGGTGGCCTCTCTCAACTCTCGGAATGATCTCCGAAGCTTCCTGTGAACTCCTTGCATACACTTTGTCATTTTGTCGGTTGAATTTTTCTTCTATGGTGAAGATTTTCTCATCCGTGAACAAAATCTTTCGGAATCCCCCAGCTGCGTACCTCTCCAAGAGCTTCTTGGATCTTGTCGCCCTGATGTGTCGCAAGGTGGCCGTAAGTCGCTGGCCCGTACGTCTCCGGTAAGCCCCTAGCCCTAGGTCTTGTTTAATGATGCGCGACATCGTCCGGACAGGAATCTTCATTTCCCTGGATAGGATCTTCTGATTCCGGAGTGGATTCCTTTGAATCCTGGCTTTTACGGCTTTGATGGCTGCTGGAGTCCTTACTTGACGAGGTCTTCCGCTTCTTGGCCTGTCATCAACAGAGGACGTCTCATTGTACCGCTGAATGGTCCTAGACAAAAATTTACGCGATATTTGAAGGCCGCGTAAGAGTTCAAAAATCTGACTAGCACTGTGATTACACTTATGTAAAGCTATCACTGCAATACGGTTCTCTGCCTTGCCCCACTCCATCGTTATGCTTCGAGAGATCAATACAAACTGAGGTATATGTAATTACCCGAAAAGCGCTTAATCAACTGACACCACAATGTAAACAATCGGACAAGTATTAACAGGTCTACACTTGTTTGAAAACGAGGGACAGAACTTATGGCATGACTACGTATATATATACAGGGTGTTCCATAATTATTGCGACAAAATGATAGGGGTTATAGAGGGCATAAAAATATGCAATTTTGCCTTATAAACCCCTGTTCGTAAATATGCCGTTTGAGCACTACAGTTAATTTTACCTTAAGAGCTCATAGGAGAAACAAAAAATTCACCAGCTGCAAAATGTTCGTCTAGCACATTTCATGGTCTCGCCGGTTTGTAAAAAAAGCCTGCTGTGTTTACATTTTTGTTATCGTACACCCGTACCACCTTTTAAAAGTCCAAGCCATGGGTCCAGCAGACTATCTGCCGCGTCGACGTTTTTGTCGTTGGTGGCTGCAGCAGGAGTTGAGGCAACCAAACTTTGGTCGCTACGCTTTGTTCACTGACGAGTCCTGTTTTACAAAGGACGGTTATTTTAATAGCCGTAACAGTCAAATTTGGGATGAAGAAAACCCTCATGCCATAGCCATCCATAGAGACCAACATCAGTTTTCAATTAACATCTGGTGCGGCATTGTGGACGAGCATATCATCGGGCCATATCTGCTTCCACCACGTTTGGATGGGCATGCTTATGGTCGATCCTTACAGCATGTGCTACCGGAACTATTAGAAAATGTGCCACTGAATATAAGAGCCAACATGTGGTTTCAACACCATGTCGGTCCAGCCCACTTTTCTTTACAAGTGCGGCAGTATTTGGACGACAAATTTCCAAATAGGTGTATAGGCCGAGGTGGCCCTGTGCCTTCGCCTGCGCGGTCACTTGACCTGACCTCACTGGATCATTTTATCTGGAGCTATCTGAAAGCTTTAGTGTACGAAACTCCTGTTCCCAACCAACAAGAG